TGACAGGAGATGAGGAGCGCGCAGGAGTTTGCGCTGGAGTTTAGAACTTTAGCAGCCAGCGCGGGATGGAATGAGAGGGCCCTGATCGACCATTATCGTTGCAGCTTAAGGGAAGAGGTCCGTCGGGAACTGGCCTGCAGGGACACCAATCTCAACCTGGACCAACTGGTGGACATGTCCATCAGGTTGGATAACCTGTTGGCAGCCCACGGACGTTCTGATCGGGGGCCGTCCATTCCATCCCCCGGCACCTCCGAGCCTACCCCCATGGAGCTCGGAGGTGCTGCAGTTAGGGAGACGGGGAGAGGGACCGTCCCCTGCACCAACTGTGGCCGCAGAGGACACACTGCTGGTCGGTGCTGGGGAGGGTCTCCTAGGAGTCGAGGCAGTAGGCAGCGCACTGATGAGCCATTCCAGGTGAGTAGGCACCCAACTCACCCAGAGCTCCCTGTTGCGCATATGTGTACGAATGTTGTGTTTCCCGAGTTTTCTCCTCAGTCCCAGCATAAGGCGCTAGTAGATTCAGGCGCGGCTGGGAATTTTATTGATCGCCAGTATACTCGTAGGTTAGGGATCCCTACTGTGTCTGTTGATAAACCTTTCCCTGTGCATGCATTAGATAGTCGGCCGTTAGGATCAGGCATAATCAGGGAGGTCACCGCTCCACTTCTGATGAGGATGCAGGGGGGTCATGAGGAGAGGATTAGCTTCTATCTGATTGATTCTCCTGCATATCCTGTGGTGTTGGGACTTCCCTGGTTAACCATTCATGACCCCATGATTTCATGGCAACAGAGGGCTCTCAAGGGATGGTCCGGTCAGTGTTCAGGGAGGTGTGTAGGAGTTTCCTTGGGGGCAACTATGGTGGAAAGTACAGGGATACATTCGGCCATCCACTTCACCTGTCTCCTCAAGTTTCTTTTTTGTGAAGAAGAAAGATGGTGGGTTACGCCCGTGCATTGATTACCGTGGCTTAAATCAGATTACCATCAAGTACAGCTATCCATTACCCCTGATAGCTAGTATGACGGAATCATTGCACGGGGCACGCTTCTTCACAAAATTGGATCTCAGGAGCGCGTACAACCTAGTGCGTATCTGGGAGGGAGATGAGTGGAAGACGGCATTTAGTACCACCTCTGGACATTATGAGTATCTTGTCATGCCATACGGGTTAATGAATGCTCCAACAGTTTTCCAATCATTTGTGGATGAGATTTTCAGGGACCTGCACGGACAAGGGGTAGTGGTGTATATTGATGACATCCTTATATACTCCACTACAAGGGCCGAGCATGTGTCCCTGGTGCGTAAAGTGCTTGGAAGACTGTTGGAGCATGACCTGTATGCTAAGGCAGAGAAAAGCCTGTTCTTTCAGGAGTCCATCTCCTTCCTAGGGTACCACATGTCCACGTCTGGGGTGCGGATGGAGAGTGACCGCATTTCGGCCGTGCGTAATTGGCCGACTCCAACCACGGTGAAGGAGGTGCAGCGATTCTTGGGGTTTGCCAACTACTACCGGAGGTTTATCTGGTGCTTTGGTCAGGTAGCGGCTCCCATGACCTCGTTGCTGAAGGGGGGATCGGTGCGTCTGTGGTGGTCAGCTGAGGCGGACAGGGCTTTTAGGCACCTGAAGGACCTGTTTACCTCGGCTCCAGTGCTGGCTCATCCGGATCCCTCCTTGGCCTTCACCGTTGAGGTGGACGTGTCCGAGGCTGGGATAGGCGCTGTACTTTCTCAGCGCTCGGGCCCGCCACCCAAACTCCGCCCCTGTGCTTTCTTTTCGAAGAAGCTCAGCCCGGCAGAGCGCAACTATGATGTGGGGGACCGGGAGCTGTTGGCGTGGAGACATTATACGCTTGAGGGGGCTAAACACCCTTTTCTCATTTTGACTGACCACCGCAATCTGGAGTACATCCGAGCGGCGAAGAGGTTAAACCCTCGCCAGGCAAGGTGGTCCATGTTTCTCACCCGTTTTGTTTTCACCCTTTCTTACAGACCAGGCTCCTAGAACACTAAGGTAGATGCTCTGTCCCGACTGTATGACACGGAGGAGAGTTCCGTGGAGCCCACTCCCATACTTCCGGCGTCGTGTCTGGTGGCACCGGTGGTATGGGCGGTTGACGCGGACATCGAGCGGGCGTTGCGTAACGAACCCACTCCTCCCCAGTGTCCAGAGGGTTGTATGTACGTACCGCTGGAGGTCCGCGATTGTTTGATCTATTGGGTTCACACGTCACCCTCCTCTGGTCATCCTGGCATCGGTCGGACAGTGAACTGTCTTAGTGGGAAGTACTGGTGGCCCACCTTAGCTAAGGACGTGAGGGTTTATGTTTCCTCCTGCTCGGTGTGCGCCCAGTGTAAAGCTCCTAGACACCTGCCCAGAGGGAAATTACACCCCCTACCCGTTCCACAACGACCGTGGTCCCACCTATCGGTGGATTTTATGACTGATCTTCCTCCCTCAAAAGGGAACACAACCATCCTGGTCGTTGTGGATCGGTTTCCTAAGTCCTGTCGCCTCCTTCCTCTGCCTGGACTCCCTACGGCCCTACAAACTGCCGAGGCCCTATTTACACACGTCTTCCGGCACTACGGGGTGCCTGAGGATATAGTGTCTGATCGGGGTCCCCAATTCACCTCAAGGGTTTGGAGGGCGTTCATGGAACGGTTGGGGATCTCAGTTAGCCTTACCTCAGGTTTTCACCCCGAGAGTAACGGGCAGATGGAGAGAATCAACCAGGAGGTGGGTAGGTTTCTGAGGTCGTATTGCCAGGACCGGTGAGGGGAGTGGTCGGTTTTCCTACCCTGGGCAGAGATGGCAATAAACTCCAACCGCCACTCCTCAACTGACCTCACTCCATTCCAGTGTGTGTTAGGTTATCAGCCGGGCCTGGCACCTTGGCTTCAGAGCCAGATCGAGGTACCTGCGGTGGACGAGTGGGTTCGGCGCTCGCAGAAGACCTGGGACGCTGCCCATGAATGCCTGCAGCGGGCCATCAGGCGGCAGAAGGCGAGCGCCGACCGCTACCGCAGTGAAGCGGTAAGATTTTCATTTAATTCTGTGTCCTGCGCTTGACTCTGGCCTACCCGTTCCACAGACATTCATGACAGATACAGATACTTTTGTACCTGTTTCTTCCAGCATCTTCACAAGGTCCTTTGCTGTTGTTCTGGGATTGATTTGCACTTTCACACCAAAGTACGTTCATCTCTAGGAGACAGAACGCGTCTCCTTCCTGAGCAGTATGACGGCTGCGTGGTTCCATGGTGTTTATACTTGCGTACTATTGTTTGTACAGATGAACGTGGTACCTTCAGGCGTTTGGAAATTGAAAAACATTTCTGAGTTCTTGGCTGATTTCTTTTGATTTTCCCATGATGTCAAGCAAAGAGGCACTGAGTTTGAAGGTAGGCCTTGAAATACATCCACAGGTACACCTCCAATTGACTCAAATGATGTCAATTAGCCTATCAGAAGCTTCTAAAGCCATGACATCATTTTCTGGAATTTTCCAAGCTGTTTAAAGACACTGTCAACTTAGTGTATGTAAACTTCTGACCAACTGGAATTGTGATACAGTGAATTATAAGTGAAATAATCTGTCTGTGAACAATTGTTGGAAAAATCACTTGTGTCATGCACAAAGTAGATGTCCTAACCGACTTGCCAAAACTATAGTTTGTTAACAAGAAATTTGTGGAGTGGTTGAAAAACGAGTTTTAATGACTCCAACCTAAGTGTATGTAAACTTCCGACCTGCATGTATCTGTGCCATTGACTTTGAACTGGACTGTCTTTACAGCATGAGTTGTTGTGAGTAGATGTGCTTGTTTTGAGATCAAAGCGAGAGCAGCACGTAGCCACGTGTCACATTTGTTTATATTTTATGCTAGGAGGTGAGTTATTAGCCCAGTTATAGATCATTTCTAGTTAGCAATAGGTGAGTGATTGCTTCCTACAAGAGTACAAAACATGTACATTTACATTTACGTCATTTAGCAGACGCTCTTATCCAGAGCGACTTACAGGAGCAATTAGGGTTAAGTGCCTTGCTCAAGGGCACATCGACAGATTTTTCACCTAGTCGGCTCGGGGATTAGAACCAGCGACCTTTCGGTTACTGGCACAACGCTCTTACCCACTAAGCTACCTGCCGCCCTGTACATTTCTAGACATCTTTGAAAAGCAAGTCAGGTAAAGAGCTTTTTTTTTTAAGACAGGCTTGAATAAGCTAAGTAGCCAATAGGCAGAGGGTATCATAATTTGTTTGATTCTCTGTAATAATGGTATGGGAATAATAATTCATTTTATTTTGAAAAGTGGTTTCTTGCATCAAACAACAACATTTTCAGTCACCTCCTTGTCTGAAGGACAAGTGAATAAACAGGTTAATGTCAATCCCTACATGTTTTTTTCAAAAGTCTCATGGAATGTGGGCCTACATTGAACACCACACATTGGCTGCTACTGTAGGCTGAATGATAGAACAGCTATTTCCATGTTAAAATGTTATGGGATGCATTTTCTCCATAATGTTATGATCAACTAGCCACAGTAGGCCACCACTGTTATAACTGTAACTTACTAGACTAGAACACATTTCCTTTAGGACATTTATTTTTCTTTAATTTGAAAATGTACATAAACTATTTCATAAAAATGTGCTGCAATAACGTAACATTAACTATTTATATAGCACTTTTCAAACACCCAAAGCCGTTTTACAGTTGACAGCAAAGAAATGCAAAACAAATACAACTAGGACAAACTTATAATAACTTTTGTTTTCAATATTAGACACTTTCCCATCTATAATCATTTATCAAATCTATCTTTTAATGTATCTTTTATAAACGTATTTTATAGTTAATGATAAAAACAAAGCTAATGACAGTCATTAAAGGTACACAAATAAGAACAATTAAAAGGATAAAAGAGGTGTGTCCAAACTTTTGACTGGTACTGTATATAGTGGTGGCTATTCCCACCCCTACCTCTACTTGCGCTTGCCGCATTTGACTTTCTTAAAACCCTGATCGTCCTCTAGATTGGCCTTCCCGCTTCCTCCAGTATCTTTACAATCATCCTTCAGGTTTTCCATCATGGCTTTGTAAAGCTGCTCAGAGGAACGGTCATCCATCAGGAGAGAATCCGGGTTCATCCCCCGTCTCAGTTTGGCCACAAGCTGGTGCACCAGAGTGCCCCTGTACAGCCTAGACTCCAACAGGGAAACAACAGAGGGTTGCATTAGCTGTGTTGCTGCTGGGATAGGATAAAATGTAAAGGAATTGATTTAGGTTGATTTAGGAAGTAACACCTTACCAGGCACACTGAGGCTCAGGCAGAGGGAGGCACAGCAGTTGGTTCAGGTTAAGGCCATCCCTCATGCAGCACTGCCATTGGTTATAGGCGTGGGCAACACCAAGGTCTAAATCAGCTCCTGAATCAGGCTTCTGAATCAGCACTTTCAGCTTCTCCGACAATCGTCCCTTCTCTATAAACCCTGATACACAAAAAGGGGAGGAGTCATTGGCTGCACTTCACACACTTCAATATTTATGAATTCTACATTGTGTGTGTCAGTGTTTTGGTTCATGCTCTGGGACATACCTTTCTGGCTCTTCCTCTGTCTGCAGAGCTCTCCATACACCAGTCCTAGTAGCAGGGCCTGCAGGAGAAGATGGTCTGGTCGGGGATAGACGTGCCTCAACCAGTAGCAGGTAACAGCCACAGGAAGTTCCAGATGAGGTGGGAGACCATTCAAAGTGGACTGGGACACACCAAGGGTCTCCAAAAACACCTCAAGCCACACTGATTGTGGAGTCTAAGGAACATAGCAAGAGAATGAGAAGACATTTCAGAATCAACAGCAGTGTGTTTATTTTATACAGTATACTATATCACATGTATACATACCTGAAATACTGTTTACTATATCACATGTCTACATACCTGATATACTGTATACTATATCACATGTATACACACCTGATATACTGTATACTATATCACATGTATATATACCTGATATACTGTATACTATATCACATGTATATATACCTGATATACTGTATACTATATCACATGTATATATACCTGATATACTGTATACTATATCACGTCTACACACATGATATACTGTATACTATATCACATGTAAACATACCTGATAAACTGTATACTATATCACATGTATATATACCTGATATACTGTATACTATATCACATGATATACTGTATACTATATCACATGTATACACACCTGATATACTCTATACTATATCACATGTATACACACCTGATATACTGTATACTATATCACATGTATATATACCTGATATACTGTATACTATATCACGTCTACATACCTGATATACTGTATACTATATCACATGTATATATATATCTGATATACTGTATACTATATCACATGATATACTGTATACTATATCACATGTATACACACCTGATATACTGTATACTATATCACATGTATACACACCTGATATACTGTATACTATATCACATGTAAACATACCTGATATACTGTATACTATATCACATGTCCACAAACCTGATATACTGTAAACTATATCACGTCAACATACCTGATATACTGTAAACTATATCACATGTATATATACCTGATATACTGTATACTATATCACATGTATATATACCTGATATACTGTATACTATATCACATGTATATATACCTGATATACTGTATACTATATCACGTCTACACACATGATATACTGTATACTATATCACATGTAAACATACCTGATAAACTGTATACTATATCACATGTATATATACCTGATATAATGTATACTATATCACATGTATACATACCTGATCCAGTGTGGCTAGCTGCAGCTGTTGTGCACCACTGGGCAGGATAGCTTTCACCTCTTTGATGACCAGTTCTGTGTCTTCCCGGACATACTCCTTCACGTAAACCACTGGGAGGCTCTGACTGCTCGGGTCCGCCCTCTTCTGGCCTTTGCTGTCATCCTCCTTCACTGTGGGCATCTCAACCAACAGCAGCCAGTAGAGAACCTGCCGTATGCACAGAGAGGTGGTGTACCCACTGCGACAGCTGGAATCTTCCACTTGGACACGATGTATCATCCTTTTATGCAGCAGCACATTCACAATGCAGGAGGGAAGCCTACCCTTCATCAACAGCAGCACGGTCCAATCTGGCAGGACACTCAGATGATTTGGGAGACACTTGCGGCTAGGCGCCACGTCATTATTGAAGAACTCCTCCAGGTAACCGAGTAGAGTTAGTGGAATCTGGTACTCTTTTATGCCCTTAGAGAGGGCATCAGACATTGGGTGTTTGATAAGACTGGGCATACTGTCCAAGGCCTCCTGCAGCTCCTTGAAGCTGGTCAGCCATTTCTGCAAGCGTTTGAAAGTGGGAAACCTGTCGGCAGCTTGTTTAACTTGTCTTTTCACAATCTGCGGCTTGTCTTCCTTGTCTCCCCACCAGATATCTAAGTTGACATTGTCGTTTCCTGCCATAACAGCGAAGACTGGGAGAAGCTGTTTGTTGATCTTAAAGTGTTCGGAGAAGCTTTTTGTGGGATAGTGTTGGCAGCTGATATGTTATGAAAACCAGAGATGAGCAGACATCCTGCCTGGATGTCAAAGATATAAAAGTCGCTGTCATCTGACAGTACTGGACAGTTCCAAATTTGAGCCAGCCTCACAGAGGCTCTGTGTGAACGGCACGTTCAGGCTGGAGAGGACTTGTTGGAAGACATATTTGACGAGGATTGGTAGTACATCGCTCACCTGATTTTTTTATTTAGCCAAGGCTTTAGGCTTGCTTGATCGTTGATTGAGCTCGTTTTTGGAGAGTGTCAAACTTTCTGTCGGTATAGTCGGAGCCTCCATCTATAATCACATAAGGGGTAATGTCACAGTCTCTCAGAGCCTTAAAGAACTTACTGACCTGGTCCTCAAAATCATCATACAGAGGTGGTGGTGTGGGCTACCGAGGTGGTGGTGGTGGTGGTGTGGGCTACCGAGGTGGTGGTGTGGGCTACCGAGGTGGTGGTGTGGGCTACCGTGGTGGTGGTGTGTGCTACCGTGGTGGTGGTGTGGGCTTCCATGGTGGTGGTGTGGGCTACCGTGGTGGTGGTGTGGGCTACCGTGGTTGTGGTGTGGGCTACCAAGGTGGTGGTGTGGGCTACTGAGGTGGTGGTGGTGTGGGCTACCGTGGTGGTGGTGTGGGCTACTGAGGTGGTGGTGGTGTGGGCTACCGTGGTGGTGGTGTGGGCTACCGTGGTGGTGGTGTGGGCTACCAAGGTGGTGGTGTAGGCTACCGTGGTGGTGGTGTGGGCTACCAAGGTGGTGGTGTAGGCTACCATGGTGGTGGTGTGGGCTACCATGGTGGTGGTGTGGGCTACTGAGGTGGTGGTGTGGGCTACCGTGGTGGTTGTGTGGGCTACTGAGGTGGTTGTGGTGTGGGCTACCAAGGTGGTGGTGTGGGCTACCAAGGTGGTGGTGTGGGCTACCGAGGTGGTGGTGTGGGCTACCGTGGTGGTGGTGGTGTGGGCTACCGTGGTGGTGGTGTGGGCTACCGTGGTGGTGGTGTGGGCTACCGTGGTGGTGGTGTGGGCTACCGTGGTGGTGGTGGTGTGGGCTACCGTGGTTGTGGTGTGGGCTACCAGGGTTGTGGTGTGGGCTACCAGGGTGGTGGTGTGGGCTACCAAGGTGGTGGTGTGGGCTACCGTGGTGGTGGTGTGGGCTACTGAGGTAGTGGTGTGGGCTACCGTGGTGGTGGTGTGGGCTACTGAGGTGGTGGTGGTGTGGGCTACTGAGGTGGTGGTGGTGTGGGCTACTGAGGTGGTGGTGGTGTAGGCTACTGAGGTGGTGGTGGTGTGGGCTACCGTCGTGGTGGTGTGGCTACTGAGGTGGTGGTGTGGGCTACTGAGGTGGTGGTGTGGGCTACCAAGGTGGTGGTGTAGGCTACCGTGGTGGTGGTGTGGACTACCGTGGTGGTGGTGTGGGCTACTGAGGTGGTGGTGGTGTGGGCTACCGTCGTGGTGGTGTGGCTACTGAGGTGGTGGTGTGGGCTACCAAGGCGGTGGTGTGGGCTACCGTGGTGGTGGTGTGGGCTACCGTGGTGGTGGTGTGGGCTACCGTGGTGGTGGTGGTGTGGGCTACCGTGGTTGTGGTGTGGGCTACCAGGGTTGTGGTGTGGGCTACCAGGGTGGTGGTGTGGGTTACCAAGGCTGTGGTGTGGGCTACCGTGGTGGTGGTGTGGGCTACCGTGGTGGTGGTGTGGGCTTCTGAGGTAGTGGTGTGGGCTACCGTGGTGGTGTGGGCTACTGAGGTGGTGGTGGTGTGGGCTACCGTGGTGGTGGTGTGGGCTACCGTGGTGGTGGTGTGGGCTACTGAGGTGTTGGTGGTGTGGGCTACCGTCGTGGTGGTGTGGCTACTGAGGTGGTGGTGTAGGCTACCGTGGTGGTGGTGTGGGCTACCGTGGTGGTGGTGTGGGCTACTGAGGTGGTGGTGGTGTGGGCTACCAAGGTGGTGGTGTGGGCTACCAAGGTGGTGGTGTGGGCTACCGTCATGGTGGTGTGGGCTACTGAGGTGGTGGTGGTGTGGGCTACCAAGGTGGTTGTGTGGGCTACCATCGTGGTGGTGTGGGCTACCGTGGTTGTGGTGTGAGCTACTGAGGTGGTGGTGGTGTGGGCTACCAAGGTGGTGGTGTGGGCTACCAAGGTGGTGGTGTGGGCTACCAAGGCGGTGGTGGTGTGGGCTACCAAGGTGGTGGTGTGGGCTACCGTCGTGGTGGTGTGGGCTACTGAGGTGGTGGTGGTGTGGGCTACCAAGGTGGCTGTGTGGGCTACCATCGTGGTGGTGTGGGCTACCGTGGTTGTGGTTTGGGCTACTGAGGTGGTGGTGGTGTGGGCTACCAAGGTGGTGGTGTGGGCTACCAAGGCGGTGGTGTGGGCTACCATGGTAGTGGTGTGGGCTACCGTGGTGGTGGTGTGGGCTACCATGGTGGTGGTGTGGGCTACCGTGGTGGTGGTGTGGGCTACCGTGGTGGTGGTGTGGGCTACCGTGGTGGTGGTGTGGGCTACCAAGGTGGTGGTGTGGGCTACCAAGGTGGTGGTGGTGTGGGCTACCGTGGTGGTGGTGTGGGCTACCGTCGTGGTGGTGTGGGCTACTGAGTTGGTGGTGTGGGCTACCAAGGTGGTGGTGTAGGCTACCGTGGTGGTGGTGTGGGCTACCGTGGTGGTGGTGTGGGCTACTGAGGTGGTGGTGTGGTGTGGGCTACCGTCGTGGTGGTGTGGGCTACTGAGGTGGTGGTGGTGTGGGCTACCAAGGTGGTGGTGTGGGCTACCAAGGCGGTGGTGTGGGCTACGGTGGTGGTGGTGTGGGCTACCGTGGTGGTGGTGTAGGCTACCGTGGTTGTGGTGTGGGCTACCGTGGTTTTTGTGTGGGCTACCGAGGTGGTGGTGTGGGCTACTGAGGTGGTGGTGGTGTGGGCTACCGTCGTGGTGGTGTGAGCTACCGTCGTGGTGTTGTGGGCTACTGAGGTGGTGGTGTGGGCTACCAAGGTGGTGGTGTAGGCTACCGTGGTGGTGGTGTGGGCTACCAAGGTGGTTGTGTGGGCTACCATTGTGGTGGTGTGGGCTACCGTGGTTGTGGTGTGGGCTGCTGAGGTGGTGGTGGTGTGGGCTACCAAGGTGGTGTGGGCTACCAAGGTGGTGGTGTGGGCTACCAAGGCGGTGGTGTGGGCTACCGTGGTGGTGGTGTGGGCTACCGTGGTGGTGGTGTGGGCTACCGTGGTTGTGGTGTGGGCTACCAAGGTGGTGGTGTGGGCTACCGTGGTGGTGGTGTGGGCTACCGTTTTGGTGGTGTGGGCTACCGTGGTGGTGGGTGTGTGGGCTACCAAGGTGGGGGTGTGGGCTACTAAGGCGGTTGTGTGGGCTACCGTGGTGGTGGTGTGGGCTACCGTGGTTGTGGTGTGGGCTACCAAGGTGGTGGTGTGGGCTACCAAGGTGGTGGTGGTGTGGGCTACCGAGGTGGTGGTGTGGGCTTCCGTGGTGGTGGTGTGGGCTACTGAGGTGGTGGTGGTGTGGGCTACCGTTGTGGTGGTGTGGGCTACCGTTGTGGTGGTGTGGGCTACCAAGGTGGTGGTGTGGGCTACCAAGGTGGTGGTGTGGTTTACCAAGGTGGTGGTGTGGGCTACCGTTGTGGTGGTGTGGGCTACCGTGGTGGTGGTGTGGGCTACCAAGGTGGTGGTGTGGGCTACCGAAGTGGTGATGGTGGTGTGGGCTACCGTGGTGGTGGTGTGGGCTACCGTGGTGGTGGTGTGGGCTACCAAGGTGGTGGTGTGGTCTACCATGGTATTTTGTCAGTTAAAACACAGTTGGAGATGGAGTAACAGGTCAAAGGGCTAATGCCCAGTTTATTCTTGGATTGAAGGTTGATAGACTGTACAGTCACCTCCCAAAAGATTGATAAAGGTTAATACGATAATCATGGGGGAGTAATAACCTATAGGTAACCTTGTTGATTTTCCTCAGGACTTTCAACGGCGCCACAAACCGCGGCCTCCGGCAGGGCAGGGCAGGCAGAGGGGCAGATTCCGGGTCAAGAGCCAGACCCGATCACCCGGTACAAAGAACGGGTTCTCACTGCGGTGGCGGTCAGCGTTGGCCTTCTGATGACGCACGTTGCGTTGGAGGTCGACGTGAGCAGCGTCCCACGTCTCCTCCGTGCGCCGAAAAACCAGTCATCCACCACAGGAGCCTCGGTCTGGCTCTGGTGCCACGGTGCCAGAACCGATTGGTAACCTAAAACACATTGGAATAGCGTTAGGTTAGTGGAGGAGTGACGGAGAGAGTTCTGGGCATATTCGGCCCATGGCAAGAACACCGACCACTCCCTGATGCTGAAAGGGACTATTTACATGGATGCAAACAACATTCAAAATGGATGAGTTTCCATTTCCTTAAGTTACCCTTTCCATACATCACCTCAGTCATGTTTCCCTCGTTATCTCTTTATGGTCACGTTCCCTGATGCTGAGACCAGTTTATGAGATCATTCTCAGTTTTGGTCACTAGACAACTGGTGAGGCCACCATTTTTATTTCTGTTTGATTAGATTAAACAATAAAATTACCCAACTACTTTGTTATTGTTACCAACTATTGTACAAATAAAACTGAAACCTAATATACTCTATAATATACTCTATAAAGGAATGTACTTTGCAAACAGTTGGTGATCAATCAATCAATCAATTTTA